ACTGGAGCCAACAGAGCAGCTGCTTTTTGCATCTCTGCTGTGTGGGATTTGTCTTAAGTTGGAATACATGATTTGGACTAAATTCAAGGCCTGCATTTACATTCTCAAGGACTCTGTGTGTGTACGTGATTGTCCAAACATGAGACTCACAGGGTAGAATTTTACCATTCTCTCTCTGTGAAGAACGTGCAGGGGTTAACTTAATTTAAAGAATGGCCAAAGCACATGGCCTAGACCAGAAGAGATGCTCAACAAATATATTCTTTCGCTTCGTTTTTGTCCAACTAGCCCCCAAGGTTTTGGAAATCCCAAACCTGCACATAATTAAGCTGACAAATCTGTATGAGAGGAAGAGACAGGGGAGGAAGTAGAGGAAGTTGAGGAGGAGAAGGAGGAAGTAGAGCAAGAGGAGGGAGAAGAAGGCCAGTCAAGAAGTACCGGGCAAGTATAACAGTGCCAAGCACTTCCCATGTTCTCTCCTTCCTGCCTGGCAACCATCCCATAAGGCGGACACCATTAAGCTTCCAGTGCCAAGGAGAGAGCTGAAATGTCAGAAAGAGGAAGCCACGTGGCCCCAGCCCCACAATCCTAAGTATCTGGGTTTTCCTCACACTCTAGTCCCTGCTGGTCTCCAAGTTCCAGCCTCTTCCACATTGCATCTTCTAACTAAACCTGGCCTAGAATCTGCCCTCAGTTGTTCCATTGCTTGCTACTGCCTGTCACAGAAACAAAGCCCTAGAATGTATATACCCTGTGGCCCCACTCACTGGGTTTACATGGGAGGGAAAATATTTCCAGAAATGACGCAGGGAGACATGGAGAAGCGAGGAGGCAGAAACAGACTTACAGACAGAGGCCAAGACTCTAATAAGAACACAGCGGACAATTCTCCTGCGAGATGCCTTCACTGGGCCTCAGTACCCCTGTCTACAACCTGAGAAAGTGGTCAAATAAGGGACAAACCAGCGGCCAGCTTCAACATTACATCACTGGCTGGGTTTCTTAGACCCACTTAGCCGAAATCTTCGGAGCCTCTACTTTTCAGATCATCATCTTAATGTACAACACTGCCCATCTACCCACAGCAAAAACAGGAGAAGCAGTGGACTTTCTTCATAAGAAATGTGAATGGAGAACAGGCAGAATACAGTCCCTGAACGGCCCTGGCTAAATGAAGATCGGAGTCACAAAGGGAAATCACATTCCGCAAGTTCCTGGAGGGGGAGGAGAAGGGAGGAAGCTGCTGCTTCCAATAAGGACTCATTCCAGAAATCCCACATAACGGCCTCGCAGCACCCTGGTGTGATAAAGAGATGACTGTTTCGGTTGAGAGGATGGAGTCCTCCTCTGGGAGAGGTGGGAGGAGGATGTGGCGAGGGCTCTTTCCAAAGGGATTGAGCTCACCTCTTCAGACCGGAATATTGACTCTTGCATTTCCACTGTAATGACTTTAACCTGGTGAATACCTTGCCCCTGCCAAAAACCTGTCGCTATTAAGTATGTTTTCAATTGGGAAATGGAAGTGCATTGGTCCTGGCAGGAAAACGAGGGAGCGAATCTTCATTAGAGCCTTGGAGCTCAAGCCAGTATCTGGGTCTGTCAGGGTCCCCGCTGCCAACACGAGGGAAGGGGTGCTCTGCCTCTGCAGCCCAGAATTCAGAACCAGAGAACACCAAGGCAGTTTTCCCTTTCTCCAGTAAATTTCCAGGTTGAAAAACGAAAAGAACATCACCAAAGAAAGAACACATTCTGCTTTTTCATTTTCAACTAAAAAAAAATATATGTATATACAATTCCTCTCTGTCTGTATGGCCCCCTCTTCTGGGCTTTTCCTGTTCCTCCTCTGTTCTGGTCTCTCCACCCTCCACCCACAGAATGAATGCCTGTGGGCAGCCCCCACATCCCATGGCCCCCTGCCCTTCCTCCTAGCATGGCGCAGGCACATTCCACTGGCACTTCCTTGTGTACTTTTCACCTGCCCTCTCCCCTTTCTCGACCCTCTGTTAAACACCAGGAAAGCAACGATATCCCTGGAAGACCAGGAGCCTTGCAGGCTGGCAGGACAGTGGGAACCCCAGTCCCACCACCATGTACATCACTGTGAACTTCCTCGTTGGTGACATGGAGCCATGCGGACTTCCCCACAGGCTTCTTCCATTGGTGAGATGAGAAAATATCTGCAGAGAGCCTCGTGTAGGACCATCATGAGCTGCCCTGCCCTTTCTCCTCTTCACAGGCTGAGCACAGCAGCTCAGCTGAGGCCACATGCAGGGGAAGCCAGGAGACACATCGCAGGGGGGGGCATCCCTGGGTCCAGTATCTTTAGGGCAGAGCCCGAACAGGTAGCACCCAAACCTGGGATTTGGTATTTTTCTGTTTTGTTTTGTCTTGAGTCCATGTTTGCAGAACATAATTTCTCATGGGGAGTTGGTGCATGTCCGTAACACATCTTTTTTGTCATCCCTTTTCCCGTTCCTCCCTCTCCCCTTCCTGCATCTCTTGATCCCCTTCCCCTTTAAGAAAGAGCCATCTCCCTACTTCCTAGGATCTAGCTTTTATTTTGCCCTTTATTTATACTCCGGGTTTCTCATGCAACAAAAACCATGTGACATTTAACCTCCTGTGTCTGATTCATTTCACTTAGCATTATGGCCCCCAGGTGCATCCATTTTCCCACAAATGACTCAAATTTATCCCTTACAGCTGAGTAGTACTTCACTGTGTGTCGGTACATTTGCTCTATCCACTCACCTGTTGATGGACACATAGGCCACTTTCAAACTTTAGCTATGATGAGTTGTGCTGCTATAAACACGGGTGTGCATGTATCACTGCAACATGATGCCTTTCACTCTTTTGGAAAGCTACCTAGAAGGAAAATAGGCATGTCAGTCAGCATGATAATTAGAAGCACATTCAGAGAAGGAGGGGGTGGCAGCCTCATGTAAAGGGGACAGTGTGACAAGGCACAGGAGAACAGAACAAACTGGAGAAGCCGAGGATGTGGTAGTGGGAGAGTTTGGGGTGTGGACAGGGAGAAAGAGCCCTCTGGTCACTCCACCTGGCCTATGGAGGATACTTAGAAACACCGAATCTACTAGAAAATGAACCCATCACTAACAAGACTTCCTTGGCTTTGCTTGAAACCTCTCACACTCACTACCCTGACCCTCTGCACCAGAGAGGAAATCTTGGCTCTGCTGGCTGCCAGTATTTTTTTACCCAGGGCTCCCGGAGCTACAGAGTGGTTGCCATGCTGCTGGGTCCCAGGGATGTGGGAGCTGCCCAGATCCCGTGCCTATTTATTTCCCTAAGAGCCACACCTCTTCTCAGCACCCCACAGACCAGCAGTAGGCTGTGACTTAGCCCAAGCACCTCAGTGCAGGCAGCCGCCATCACTCCAAGGCCTTTGCGGCCAACAGGGTTTTGTGCAGTCTCACAGCCCATGTCTGGGAACGCACCGGGAAAGGATGGAGGCGGAAGAGCCGTACTCTTGCCCATCCCTGATCGCACAGGTGGCCTGGCTCCGCACCCAGGCACCTGTTTGCAGAGCCACACCCACACTGACACGCCTCTGCGCCTTGCCAGGCTGACTGATCAGCCCGGGCAGGAAGAAGCCCGGGTCTTGGATGTGGCGGCTGGGTTTTGGGACCTTGTCTTTGGACATTTGTATTCAAAAAGAAAAATGAAAACATGGAAAGCCATTTGCATTTCTGTCCGAGCTGTGCCAGGGGTGCTGTTCACGCACCCAGGACTGGGGTGGTGGGTGGGGCTTAGGGCCTTGTGCTTCTCTGTGGATTCCACACAAACAAATCTCCCACGAGCCAGCAAAACTCGTTCGCATTTGTATACTGTGGATTACAACTTCGGAGTGAATGCCTTCTTTTCCCAAACAGGTTTCCTTATTTTCCCCAAAACTTTTGAATTACTGCTATCTACAGACTACCAAAAATAATCATAATAATAATAATAATAAATGAGGAGAAACTAGAGAAATGGCACACAGAAAAGGGGAGAACAGATGGAGAAAAATAATTTCACATTATATGTTCATATCATACACCTATTTTATTGTTTTCTTTTGGTTTAATACCAAAGAAGCTGACTATACTTGCTCATCCTGTTTGTGACGGGGACCAGCGATCCTGTGCTCACACATCGCAGCTCCTTAACTGTCCGACTTCAAAGGGCATCTCCCTGCTCCGTTCCGCGAGGGGAACATGACTTCACCCTCGCAGGCCCCACAGGGACAACTAGGCACCATGAGAGAGAAGTGTAATGCTGTCGTTGCTGTTTCACAACTAGCAGAAAGAACCACAGTACTTGAAACGAGAAAGGTGACACGAGGTCCTGCCGCCAGACAGCTACCGCTCACGTGGTGGGTGCACGCCTTTCAGATTCTACCGTTGCACCAGACCCACGCCTTACATCATGCATGCACACATGCAGGCATGGGAGCACATAGACATTCACATGGGTCCCTGGCATCTGTCCTCAGAATTGTGTGGAGGACCCGGCTGGAGGCCCCTTGGGACACACAGGGACACTACCACCCACTGATGGCGTCCATGAAATGTCTAGGGCAGAAGCCAGTAAACTTTTGCTAAGGAAGGTGGATCATAAATACTTCGGGCTTTGCTGGCCCCATGATCTCTGTTGCAGGCACACAGCTCTGCTGTTGTAACACAGAAACAACAAATACAGAACAGTGATTGTGCCTGTGCTCCAATAAAGCTTTATTGACAAACCAGGAAGTGGCTATCTTTGGCCCAAGGGTGGTTCACAGATCCCTAGATAAAAAGAACATACTTTGAACTAGTAAGACAGCAGGGCAGGAGGCAGATCCAAGCACACATGCATGCACTTGCACACACACATGCCCCCATTGAAACACAAACTTATTTTCAGTGGCCTGTGCTGTTTTAACAAATACCTCAGTTTTAATGTGCAGCCTCTGAAAAATAAGGACTGCCACTGGATTAATTGAAATTCCCTTTCTCACCAAACAGCAATTTAGAAATAGCCAGTTTCCCTCTGTTTCACGGAGGGAGTCAAAGCGGCAGTCACCCCACCGCACTGTCTAAGAAATGCAGTGCAGGGGGGACAGGGTGATACCTCACTCACGCCAAGTACCCGAGATCACACACAACCGGCAAATGATTTATTAAAGACTACAAGATAAATATGGTACAGTTTTCAAATAGAGAGGCTCATGACATCAGCACAGGATGAGAGAATCAGGATGATTAATAGGGAAGGAGACAGGTTACAAATACCGAACACTTTCTCCACCTGTGGGAGGCTCTTGGAGAAAGCCTCTCCTGTCTGCAAACAGCCTTCCAAAATAGGGTGATAAAATACAAGCCTAATAACAAAGGCCATTTCGCACCATTTTCCCCCTAGGTTTTGAGATGTAATTCACAAGTCCTCCTAGAGTCCATCCATGAGCTTGTACGGTCTATTCTCAACAGGCACCTACAAGACAGCCGCGGCTTCTCTCCGTTGAATCTTAATGACCGAGCGGATCTTAGCTCGCAGCCCCCGGTTGGGAGGTTTTTCCTGTTCCCTCCCGATGCCCTCTCTCCCCGGATGAGCCGGGCCTTTCAAGGATCAGTGCCTGCACTTAACTCAATGTTCTGCTCAGCTGCCCACTCCAACCTCGCCCTTTCTTACAGCTTCTGCAGAGATGCGAGAGGTCTTCAGGGGATTTCAGCCGACGTGGGGAGGTGACACTCCAATTAAACCTTCCTCTCGCGATGGTCGCCTTGACCTCGCGTCCTCCCTGTGCACACACTCAGCCGCACTTGTTTGCTAGGCAGGTACCTGCAGAAAGACACCCTTCGCGTGCCCGGCTCAGCGCTGCGTGCTGGGGATGAGACGATTAAGAAGCTGCAGTTGGCGCCTTTCATAGCTCATGACCTATTCGGTGAGACAGAAATGGACACAAAGCCCCGGCCTTGATGCAATCGGCACTGTTAGTCAGGTACGGGAGCAGCGCTAAAGACAAGCAAATACATGCACAGAAAACACCTGGAAAGAAGCACGCAAAACAGATAACGGTGGGTGTCTCCCCTTTCCAAAAAGTGGGTGAGGGGTCAGTATTAGGCAAGAAAAGCCACTAGGGAACATCTGAGTCTATACTTACGTGTGTGTATGCCTTTTTCAAAAATGTTCCTAGTCTTCTTATTCCTACTACCACGTGACTTCATTTAATCCTGAAATGCCCTAAGTGAGCAGGGCCAGGACCGGGGTGAAGGGAGCAAGGCACCAGGGCATGCCTCTGGGAGGCGCTCACTGTCAGGGTCATGGAGGCTCAGGGCCAGCTAAGCACACAGAGAACGGAGCAATGGACTGACAGGTCTGAGGAGGGCCCTCAGCAAGGAAATGGGCCCTGAAGATCGAGAGGGGCTTCCCTGAGAGAGAGCTTGCTAGGCAGACAGAGCAGCATGTGGGAGGGTATGGCAGAGCATAATGAGTCATTCCCAGTGCCTACAATGTAGAAAGTGGGATGGGAAGGAGAAGAGAAAATGCACACAACCCCCAGCACACACATGCCTTAAGCTTAGGAAAGTCTTTCTGTGGCAGGGTCAGCGTGTAGGGCTCAACACCGGTGTCTAGGATGAGACTGGGCGTCCACAGGCCCTCATGAGACTCATCATGGCTGCTTTCCTCTGAATGGAGCCTGTTTCTATTGTCTTGATGTCCAGTTCTGACATCTCATCTCTTCCTTCTCCATCCTTTTCTTGAGTTCCTTCCTTCTGGAGATCACATGACTAGGCTAAGTCATCTAATCGTTTCCCACACAGTAGGCCAGACATTGTTCCAACTGCACACCCTACATGACCTTATTCACATTTCACAACAGCCTAACAAATGCGTTTTGTTATTATTCCCATTTTATAGATGAGGCAATGTGAGGTCAGTCTGCTTTAATAACTTACCCAGGACACAAAGGAAATGAATGAGGATGCCAGGACTGAAACCCACAGGGTGGTGCTGGACGTTATGCCAACTACTGTGCCTCCTGCTGGGGGTAAATTGCAAGTGACATCTACACAAGATGCACCAAGTGAGTGCAACAGAGGAGAAGTGAAGGGTCAAATAGCCCTGGTCCTACACCACACAGGCGAGGACTGCATAGTCACCCGCGCAGTCTTCCCATCAGAGAAGTCAGGAAAACTGCCTGCAGGAGGCTGGGGCTGAGCCCTTCCTCCAGAAAAGATATCAGGATTGTGCTTGTACAGTGTGTTTCTGTTCAAAGCCTTTCTGCACTTTAAATATGGTAGGGACATGGTTTTGTGCTCGTGTTATGGAGACATAATAGGGGGACATTTATCCAAAAGCCACTAAAGGAGGCTTTTAAGGAAAAGCGAGATGCAAGTCAACCGAAGCTCAAGCATGGATTGTTCCACTTCCGTGTGCTCAGCGTACAGTGCTCCAAAATCAGACCAGAGCTGTTAGCGAGCAACAGCTTGGCCATCCAGAAGTAGGGAAACCACTTTCCTTGGACCAGTTGTAAACACGCTCTCTGTGCCTGCAGGGCTTTGGATCTCCCCAGGGAGGTTGAGCTGCCCCAGTCACATCCCAAAGTTGGAACACCGTGACCTGAGAGAGCTCGCGGCCTGGGCAGAGAGACCTGGTGCGAGGAGCAGGCTGCCTGGGTGCTGACAAGTGGGGCGAGCGGCGAGGCTCGCCAGACAATGGCAAAGGAAACATCGCCATCTGGTGGCCGCAGGGGAGATGGGCTACCTTCCCCGCCATTGTCTCAAGCATACACAAAGTGAGTTCAGCCAAAAAAAAATTTAGATCATTTGGAAAAAGCAGGAGAGCCAGGCCTTTGGTTTTAAAGACAACAGAGGAACCAAAACTCAGCCCTGGCGCATGCTGTCTGTGGCAAAGGAGGAGAAAAAGGAGAGTAAGCGGAGTCACCCTACCAAATATGGATGCTCTTGGCAACAGCAAAACATTCTTCCCTGGGGGTTGTGAGAGACCTGCTCTCGGCCCAACACAGAAGGCCTTTTTGGTGTCCAAAGGACCAAGATAGACATTACAAGATCACACGAAGGAGGGAAATACTCTGATGATGTCAGTAACGACAGGCTGCAGACTAAAAGCACTGACGTCATTTTTGCACGCACGGATGAATACATAATTAATCAACTGAGCAATAATAATAATAGATAATTAAACAATCACTGGACATTAACTCTCACAGCAACCCCATAAGAAGTAAAATGCTGCTACTAGCTCCATTTTACAGCTGACCAAGCCGAGTCCCTCAGAGGCAGGCACACACCCTGAGCTGGATCCCCCGAGAGGCCAGAGCAAAGCACGGGCCCATCCGACCCAGTCCCACACTCTGCACCATCACCCAGTGCTCGTCCCTCGGTGTGGTCCATCTGCACTGCACACACAGGCACATACTAAAGCACAGCATCTGCAGCTCCACTCCAGATGCGCACAGTCAGACTGTCTGGGTGGGCTTGACAACTGGCACGTTAGCAAGTTCCCCGAGCCATGGGATAACCACCTACGTGTGCTATTGCTAAGTTGTGTCCCCCAGCTCCAGTGTTGAAACCCTGACCCATCATGTGATGGTGTTCAGAGGTGGAGCTTTTGGAAGGTAGTTGGTTTTTCATGGGGCTATGAGGGTGGAGCCCCTGTGACAAAGATTAATGCCCTGAAAAGGAGAGGAAGAGAACAGAGCTCTTTCTCTCTCCACCATGTGAGGATACATAGGGGCCATGTGCAAGCCAGAAAAAGGGCCCTCACCAAACTCCCACCTTGCCAGACCTTGTTCTTAGACTTCCCAGCCTCCAGAAGAATCAGGACTGTTAAGACACACCATCCATGGTAGTGCGTCTTACTTAGCCCAAGCTTACTAAGACGCAACGCCACACATCCTTGTACCTGCTCATACCAAATGCACGGTAGATTCCCACTGACTTAGTGAATGACCCAGCGTGCGAGCTCTACTGCACTGCAGCTTGGAAGAGATGCACTGAGTGTGTGCGGGTATAGTTTCCATCACGTGACCTCTTTCCTAACCGGGGAGCAACCCTGGAACCTGCTTTCTTTCAACCCTAAGAAGAGTAGGTCCCCTCCCTGCATCTTTAAGGATTCGTGGGGAAGGCTCTGGAGAGCAGAAGTGACAGCCTGGTGTTCTGCCTTGCATAGTGCTTTCCAATTCCAAAACTCTCTGGCAGACAGTCTCTCTTTAGGTGACTGGAATTACCCAGGACGTTGGGGGTCCGGATAATTATGATCGTGGTTTAGCAGATGATAACCAGACTGAGGGAGTTAGAGCCCTGCCCATAGTCACCCGCTAGCAACATGGAGGGCTCAGCCCGTAAGACAACAGAAAAACACAAGTTCACCAAAGAATGAAATTAGAGGACACAGCATAACACGGAAGAGGGGCTTACTAGCAGCAAGGAAAATCACCCCCGACAGCCCGCATGGCAATAACTAACAAGATACAGGCAGGGTTAAGGTCACAGGCAGAGTGGGGGGCCCTCTTGGGAGCAACAGTGAGGTGAAGCTGTTAGCACTCCTAAAAGTGAAACAGCAAGCAGAGGAGGAGGTAGTGTCATGAACCAGGAAGAGGGGCAGGAAGTGAAATGAACAAGTAACAAAGGCGGAAGTCAAAGCTTTTAGAGAATCATCGCTGACTCAGCTTTCTCACTCTCCTAAGCAGTAAGTGCTGTCTTCCAAGAAACAAGATGCCGGTGGCTTCTGGAGGGGTCCCAACCTCAGTTACCCTGGGAGTGGGCTTGAGCACTCCCTGCCTGGGGACATTCTGGGCCTGCTCTCAGGGATCACGCAGACCTTGGTCTTCTTTCAGCCCAGCCCACCCAGTGGTGGAGTAGCAAAGAGGCCAATGACTGAGAAGTTGAAACGACACGACATTTCTAACAGAAAAACTAAAAGCATATCCCTGCTGCTGAGATTGTTTACTCCTCTGCCAAACTGCTCTGGTGGGTTCTCTGCGGTTACACAGAGCTTTGAAGACAAGCATGTAATATTCTTAAGTACCTCTGAGACAGGTTTTCTTAACTTCGCCCAGATGGCTCCCTGAGCTGGCATGTGCCTTACAGAACCTCAGCAGCACCCTTGCCCCACCCACTAGATGTCGGTAGCACATCCCTCCCCCCTCAGCTGCAGCACCCCAAAATGCCTCCAGACACTGCTAACAGCTGGGGGGATAGGTCAGTCCCCCTCCCCTTGAGAATGCCTGTTCTAAGCCACTGTAAATTAACGAGCTAAATTCTTCCATTAACAATAGGAGAGCTAGCTTAGAGTGATGATTTAAAATAGTCTCCCTTTATTCAAATTCGGTGTAGCACTCACTCCATGATGTTCTGTTCATCATGGATTTTTTTGCATTAACTTTGATTTTTTTTTAATATTTCACTAAAATATTATCTTTGGTATCTGCTTAAATATACCCCAAGTATCTTATTTGCCTCCCTGAGTCCAGCCCTAGGCAAGGTGCCACCGGGGCCATTAACACCAGGAAGGGGAAACTGTCCCCTTTCTTTCTCTGTCACACATTCATTCATTCTTCCCCTACTCAGTCCACAGAATCTTAACTTGGCCACTGTTCACAATGGCTGTGCACAAGCTCAATGTGCAGTCACCGTGATTTCCACACATTTCCTGCATAACCGGGAAGAGTCATGAGAGGTGCTGTACTGAGTGCTATGTAAAGAGTATGTCTTAGTTACTTTTCTCTTGTAGCTGAGGCAAAATACCCAACTCCCAAAATTAAGAAAGGAAAGATTTATTTAGCTCACAGTTCATGGAGGTTTCAGTCCGTATTTGGCTGGCTTCAAGGCAGAGTGGCACATGGCAGAGGGCAAATGTTCATGGAGGCAGAAAACAGCAAAAGCAACAAGTGCAAAAGGGAGGAGTTAGCAGGCAGCCTCTTCCTCTCCCTTACATATGCAAGCTATCCACCCTAGAGGAGTGTAGCACTCACAACCATGAATCAAAACTCTAGAAGCCTGCCCCATGACTGCATAAGGATCTGAGGGGACATGCAGACACAAACCATAACAGAGCACATGAGAAGGGAAATGCTAAGAGGTGAGGGACCATTTGTAAGGATAAAGCAATTGTCCAGAGTAGATGACTGTGGTTTGAACTGGGAAATTAGCTGTGGACACAAAAAGGATTAGGAAGATTAAAATGACAGACTCAGTTAACCAGTTTTTGATTCGGGGGTACTAATAAAAAAAGACAAAATCGACAGATATTGGTGGTTAATCCAACGTAAGGGATAAGGGTAAGAGTTGTCAGGGGAAGATCCCAGAATTCTAATGCATATAATTGGGTGAAGATTATGATGAATCAGAAAGCTGCAAACCTGGAGAAGGAGCAAGTTGAGAGGAACCTGGGGTCCAGGATCACAACAAGGGTGTGGTGGTCAGGCGAGATGCCTGGGGTGTTACCACACAGAGTCCTTAAAAGGGGAAGGGGCTGGAGATGCCACTGCAGGAGTCCGGTCCTCAGATGGCACCTGAAGCTGTGATGTGCAGCAGCCTCCCTGGGAGGCCTGGAGAGTGACAAGAGGTGCTGGGACCCAGCCCTAAGGAACTCTCAGCTCTCACAGGCAGGTGGAGATCAACAACATGCTGAAATTAGTAGAGGGAAGTGTGATACCAACAGGATATTTGCATAACCTCACAGAATCTCCCCCTCGAGACAATTATTAATTACAAGGTGGAAACTGTAAGATTACAGTGGGGGAACCTGGCCCATGCCACCTCTACCAACTACTCAGAATTAACCTACAACAATCAGATGTGTGCACCTCATGTGCTTCCCGATACGACATGATGAGATGGACTCAGCACTGCCTCTGTGATTGTCTTGCCAAAAGTGCATCACGTCAGCCTAATTGTGGGAAAATGTCAGAGAAATCCAAAGTGGAGCACCCCAATATCTGGCCAGATACCTTCAAATCTGTCAAAGTCATGAGAGACTAAAGAAGACTGAGAAATTGTCCCAGGTTGGAGGAGACTGAGGACTGCAATGGACTGGGATCTTGTATCAGACACTGACAAGAGAAAGGACTAGTTGACCAGTTGGAGAAATCCGAAGACCTACAGAGGAGTTTCAAGTAGAGCATCAATGTTGGTTTCCTGGTTTTGAAAATTACGCTAAGGTTATGTAGGATATGAACATTCTTGGAAGATGGATGAAGGGTATGCGGGGATTCTCTGTTAATACTTTTGCAAATATTTTAGTAAATTGAGATACAAGTTTTTTAAATAAAAAATGTAAGTGGAAGAGGAGAAGTCAGCTAAAGAGCAGAGTAGTGGCCAGAGAGGAAGACAGGATGGCCCTGGGCAAGCCGAGCCAAGAGCCACATCAAGAGAAAAGCGGGTATTCAACGAAGCTCAGCGCTTCTGAAAATCATGTGAGAATTTTAATCAGTATAGAAGATTTTATCTCTCTTTGGGTAAACTTTTTATTTTAATAAGATAGAAAAAAATAAAAACAATACAGAATTTCAAAACAAGATGATAGGAAATTAACAATTATTATTACATTGCATATTGTTATCTTCAAAGTATTTGCTCAGATTACCAGGTACAGGCATGCCAAATTGATCAAACAATATAAGCACTAACTGTTCCTTTCACTGAACTAATAGAAATTAGTAGTACAATTATCTTAGCTATCTTGTGTATATATACATATCTTTTTTCCCCTTCCTTCTTTTCTCTTTTCCTCCATCCCAGTTGTTTTTTTCCTTTTGAGTAGTTTCTTTCCCTTTCACAATACCTATTGTACCTTTCAGATTTTATTTACTCTCTCAGTTTCTTACACTGGGGAGACAATACAATGTTTACATGTGTAATTCGGATTTATTTCACTTATGAGTATGGTTTCTAGTTATATCCATCTCCTTAGAAAAGCCTCCAGTTTATCTTTCTTTATAGCTGAGTAGTACTCCATTATATAAAAAATACCACATCTTTTTTATCCATTTCTTGATTGATGGACATTTGGGTTTTTCCAAGACCTAGCTATTACAAATTGTACTGCTATAAACATGGGTGCACATATATTGCTGTGGTATGTTTTCATTTCTTCTGGGAAAATATGTTTGGATAAACTTTTCATTGAATTCTAACATAAATGAAAAACTATACAAATAATGACTGGTTTGGTAAGTTTTTAAGAGACAAGCACCCATGCATAGAAGCCTCTAATTTAATATATAGAACCAGTAAGCCACTCTGTGTCCTGTCCCAGTTATTAACCCCCCTCCCTACAAAAGTAACTAGCATTCTGACTTCTATCACCATAGATTAATTTTACCTCTTTTTAAAAAATTTTTATAAATGGATCTTTACAGTGAGTCTGGTTCTTGCACTCAGTACTATATTTATGAGATTTCTCCATGTTGTCCTGTATAGTAGTTCCTTCTCGTTGCTATATTATATTTCATCACATGAATTTACCATGACTTACTATCCATTTCACTGTTGGCGACATTTAGGTTGTTATCACCCTGGGTTTGGTTATTAGAAATAGTGCTTCTGTGAATGTTTTAGTGTATATAGAGGTGTTTATCTGCTAGGTAACTATCTAGAAGTGGAATTTCAATTGGGATTTGCTCTGTGGATGGCACAGGAAACAGCTTTTTCAAAGAGTCATTAGATGTGTTTTTGGAGGTCTCAACGTGTATGGATGAAGCTCATGTTTCCACAGAATACTGCAAATGCCATTTTGTCCTTTACCCCCACAGCTCATATTTATTGATGTCGCTGAGAAAAAACTAAATGAATTCATTTCATGAAAAAAAAAATCACCTCCTAGAGCAAGGGAAAAATCTGAGTCAAAAATCCCTGGATACCAACCCCCAACAGTGCCATATTATTTGTTTTAGGCCCTGGGCAATCCCTCTCAATTCTCTTAATTTTTGTTTTCAGTTTTAAAATGTAAATAATATCTCCAGTTCCAAATGTAATCATGCATTTGGCATAATACCTGGCCTGTGGGAGAAATGTGATAATGTTCCTAAGAAAAGTACCCTGATGGAAAAATTTTGATCTAGCTTTTCCTAAATTCCCACCAAAGTACTTATGCAGAAAAGAGAAAAAATTTAAATCCTGCAAAAAGAAGCCAACCAAACACTAGTATCTCTGATAAATTTCTACTCCCTACAAGGCCAAGGGAATAAAAAATTAAAATATATCTGATAGATACTCCATGCTTTTGAGAATTGTCCAAAGTTTCTCTTTTGGATGTGAGTAGAAAATTCTTCTCTCACTATGGACTCCCACGTTTCAAAAAAAGCACAACCTATACCAGAAAGAAAACAAAAATAAATTCTACTACTTCTCTTAGACAGCCATGCAGACACTACAATGTGCAGAAATCAACACATCAGGACACAGGTGCTGGGAAACCTGGGGTGACGCCACCTCGTAGGTGTGTGATCCCCACAACACAGATGGTGCTGGTCTTCCTGAAAGCAGAGATTTTCATACCAGTCCTCCCATTTCCACCTAGGAAGGCTCAACTAGAGCAAGAAGATAACGGACAAGAAAACACACAGCAATCCATCCCAAAATAATGGTTTCCTACAAAAGAAGCTAGAACAATGATTACAAATTGTGTTATCTAAATCATAATTAGAATTTACCCAGTTGGTAGCACAGGAAGGTGGAGTGTTCCTCATAAAATCTCTCCTCCCTCCAGGTAATATCCATGAAGCCTTCAGCCAGACTGATTTCGGCAAATGTTTCAGCAACAAGCATTATGAAACAGCCCTATAAAATTCCAACCAGGAAAGAAAAAAGATATTTAGGAAGGAATGAAAATTAAGTCTGGTATCAGTCTTCCCCTTTATAATGTGAAATATCAGGAAATAAGAAATATCTATAGCTTGGAGGAGGAAATGATTGCAATTCAACTATTTTTATTGAGTAAACAAGAGGAAATTCTCAATTTTTATTGAGTAAACAAGAAGATATCATCTCGCACTGATATCAGCATCACTCATGTATTCCCCTTCAAAATAACTGCATAGAAATGCATTCCAGCTAACAGAAACATTATGTAAAATTAGGTTAGATTAGGCTCCTTTAATATAAAAGGACCATACTGAATATAAAATAAAGAGACTCTCCTTGAGCCCTGACAAGATTATTAGTTTCCCATGGCTATTGTAACAAATTAGCATACATTTGGGAGCTTAAAGCAACACGTATATGTGATATTAAAGTTCTGCAGGTTCGAAACCTAAACTATGTCTTACTGGGCTAGAAACAAATGCTGGCAGAGATGCATTCCTTCCAGAGGCTCTGAGAGAGGGCTGTTGCCCTGCCTTTCCAAGCTTCTAGATGTCACCTGTTCTGTGGTTCATGGTCCCTTCCACCATCTTTAAAACCATCAATGACCCAAGACCATCTCACACTGATATCTACAATATCTGGTTCTGTCTTCCCATTCCTTCTTCCTCTTCTACATTCCCTTGTTGTCACAGCAGGCCCACTTAGATAATCCAGGAAAAACTCCCTATGTCTGGGTCAGCTGATTAGCAACCTTAATTCCATCTGAAACCTTTATTTCCCTTTGTCATATCACCCAGTTTATTCACAAATTCTGAGGGTCAAGGTAGAGACATCTTTAGGTGACCACCATTCTATTTACCATACTGGACATCATTAACTAGTTCATTTAGTCTTGTCTCATTTTTATGAGGTAGAAATACAATTAACCCATGTTCAGATGAGGAAATAGAGGCTTAAAGTTGTCTTAGAATTCTTCCCAATTAATTTAAAACTTTTCTTGTTCATGAAGACTTTCCACACATTGTTCCTACTCCTTTTTTTCATTTTAGTGTACCACAAGTAAATATTAATAAAGAAAATATTAAAAAACACTCTTCTCACCCTACTTCTAATACATTTTTGCTGATATTATTATCCCCATTAGTACTCCAATTGAGACACCAAATTCTGTGGGAGTTGAGTGAGTTGGCCCAGGTTATTCAGGTAACAAAGGACAAAGTGAAGATCTGACCTCTGAGGCCAAGGGTTTGCTACTAACACCAGAGTCTTTCATAAAGTACATTCTTATTCAAAAACTGAGTATTTTGTTCCCTGAAAGAGCAAAGAAAAATTGATCATTTGCTGTGTTTTGTCCTAACATTCACTCTAGAACTTAGCCTACAAACCCAGAGCTTTACAAAACTGTAATTGTAGTACTCACAGCACTGCTCAATACATGGCCCTGAGAAGCAATAACATCAGTGAGGAGGAAAACACACCATTAATCCCATTACCCCCAGAAGCAGAAGGGTTTGGTGCTATTGGTGAGGAGCTTGGGCCACAGTCTTCAGGAGAACAAATGGGATTTGTATCACAAATTTGCCTCTTTGGGAGTTGACCCCATGATGAGCCACAGGACCCCGAGCAGCCAGCAAGGCTACTCCATAGCTACCAGGCCAATGGGTTACTTCCAGCTTCCTTAGCAAAGGGCTCCAGGTGTGTCTTCGAAAGCTACACAGAACTGCTGCTAGGTCTTGGCAGAGGTGAGTTTATAGAAAGACCAGCTGAGGAACATAAAATGTTGTTAGCTTATTTCTATCATGTGGAAAGGCAAAAAAAAAAAAAATCAGAAGATGTGGATTTAATAAGTAACTGGTATATTGTTTTTACTCTCTTCACACACCATAAATGTCTTTTCTTGTACAAAGAGATATTTGCAATCAGACTATGAGAAAATGCACATCCAAGTTCTAGTTACTCATCTATTTCTTCATTCTTGATGCTCAGAAAGTGGTCAAGGAGTAGCGTGACTATGGGGATACAGCCTAACTACAACCTCTCACAGTCTGGGGTGTTCCGGTCCGTTCACTCATCGGTTATTCCATGACGTAGCTTGTTAGCTTGTTTGTCTACTTGTTTTGTTTGCTTGCTTGTTTCAAAAATATTGGCTTAGATTCATTTGGGAAGAAAACCTATAGCATGCCTTGGAATCAAATAAATTGTAGATCCATGGCCAGTTGAACACTGGCCATGTTCAATATAGTTGACATAATTTTAACTACCATCCACCCTATTTCTACTATTAATTCTCATTCTCCTATTCTCTTCTATTATCATCTGCTTCAGTATTAATCAAATGCAATACGAAATGTATAAGTCAGCCAAAATAATGCTGTATAACAAACCAACTCAATGCTGGTCAGTGGCTTAAAACAGTAATTACATTTTCTTATAATCATGAATATGCAAGTCAACTGCAACTTACTTGGGCTAGGCTAAAGTTCAGAGTTTAGGTGTCACACAGTAGGGTTGGTCCAAGTTGGACCTAACATATTTTTAGGGGATCAGTCTACTGTACAGTTGCATTCTCATGCTAAAGCTAAATGTCCAACAACTACCCCCAGCATGTTCCTTTCCTGATTGATCCCTGGACCACAAAGGGCATGCCCAAATGTATAAGTACTTTTTTCATATTTATGCTCATGTCACATTTACTAGCAACATTTTATCTGCAGCAAATCCCATGACCTCACTGTCTTGGTTACTTTTCTCTAGTTGCTGAGACAAAATACCCAACAACCAAAATTAAGAAAGGAAAGGTTTATTTAGCTCACATTTGGGGAGGCTTCAGTCCATACTCGGCTGGCACCACGGCAGAGTGGCACATGGCAGGGGCAACAGTTCATGGTGGCTGAAGACAGCAAAGACAACAACCAGAGCAAAAGGGAAGAGTGGCAGCAAGCAGCCTCTTTCCGTCCCTTACATTGTATGCAAACTATCTGCCCTGGGGGGGGGGGCGGGGCGGGGGCGCGGGTGTAGCACTCACACTCATAATCTCAGCATTGGACTATGAATCAATCAAATATCTAGAATAGAAGCCCGCCCCATGACTGCATGTATCTTTTGGGGGTGCCCAGATGCAAACACTAACACTAACCCAATCTCAAGGAGCAGGAAAATACATCTCACTTTTAGCAAAGATGCTGATATAAAAGTACTAGTACAGGGTGTTGAAGAATAGAGGCCAGTTGTATAGTATCATACCACATTAAGATAGAATAGTGCTCATCGTTGTGAAAATGATAAAACTGACCACTGATAAATAGCAGTTAACATAACAACACATAAACACACTTTATATCTAGGGGCATAAAATAGAATTTATATGGACCAGCCCAATACTGGCATTTGAACTTGCAGTTTCTCTGACACAAGTGAGGTTAGGATTGGTCATAGATGGATCATCATGTCACGAGAAATGTTCAAGGGAGAGAGGGACTTTAGGTAAATACATGTTCCAAATTCTATTCAAATGGCAAAACAAAAGGTCTAAATAATACCCTCCGTAGTCCCTTTCAGCTCCACCTAGCCTTGCTTCCTAGCCCAGACCAGAAGTAAATGAAGACACCACGTTGTCCCTCCACTGTAAGAGTCACAGCACTTGCTGGCTGTCTTGATCATGGCTGGGGCTCTCAGTAGACAACACAGTCTTGTGGGAAAACCTAGGGCTCTGGAATCTTGCACCCCGGGGTCACATCTCAGCTGGCCTCGGGCCCACTGGACAAGTCCTTGACCGCTCTAACGGGCCTCAGTTTTCTCCTCTCTAAAATGAAAAAGAAGGACCAAAGTTTATGACACTTTGTGTAAGACAGTTTACTCTCTTAAGACAACTTGACCGCCTGGAGCAGTCGGGGAAGAAGTGGCCCAAGAAGGAAGTGTAGATTCACAGAGGCAATGAAAACCATGTTTATGGGCACAGACAAGGGTTGAGCTAATAGCAGCAGATAGTTTTGCTTTAGGACTCACCGTGCTTCCAATGCTTCCCCGATCCACCATTATGACTCCTAACTTTTCTTCTAATTTCCGTGTATGGGGTAAAGTCATGGTCTCTGGAGCAAGACTAGGTCCGCGAGGGCTCCCAGCATGCAACCCCTCTTCGCCGAGTCTCACAGTACTCCCAAGGCCTGCGCTTCCACACAAAAAATTCCTCTGTCTCCACAAATGAGACCACAAGGGCCATTTCTCCAGCAGCCCAGGAGATAGGAAAAAATAATAACACATGCAATAAAAGGAATTTTTATACAGAAATGTATTTTGAGGCTACGATATAAAGTCCCTTTAGCAGGAGCCACAATTTTCTTAAATAATCATTCCCATAATTGGCTACTTGTGGGAACAACTAATTGTGCATGTAATCATTTGCCTGTACAGCTCAGCATCAACCAGTAATTAAAGGCAGAGCCGTCTTTGCTAAATTTGGCTCTAGAAATAATAGTAATATTTCCAAGAGCCCAATGTCTCCCTGACAAGGAACTCTAAGCCCCATTCAAGTGAGTATTGTTAGGTTTTAAAAAGTCTTGAAAAGGGGAGACCCACATCCCTGCCCAAAGCAAACACACACTTAGAGAAGAACTTTAGGAGAATAACCTTCTGTTTGCATTTACTCCCCCAAAATATGTCCAGAGTATACGATATATCTTCTATGTGTGGGGTCAGACGCTTTGCTAAACTATCATCTCCTCAATCTTCTGAGCCCTTCTCTTCGTCCCCACTCTCAGAGGTGGGTAGAAAAGTCACCCAACTTTACAGAAACTGACCTTGATTAATTTCTTCCAGGTCATAGACAGGTCCCAAGTAAGTAGCATCTTCCTCCTCCCTCAGCCCTCGCCTGCCATAGGGCTACCACACTGGGGCACTCTGTCAAATACATCTGGGAGCTTGCAGCAAACCCTTAGCTAGTCCTCCTGGCTCTGTTTTTATGCCTCCTTTTCTTCTCCAAGAAAGCAAGCAGTGGTCTTAACATTAAAAGCAGATCATATTATCTGCTGAATGGCAGATGATTTATGTCTCCCAAAAGATAGAGCCATTTCTAACCCCCAGTACCTATGAATGGAATCTTACTTAAAATGAGATTCTTTGCAGATACAATCAAGGGTCTTCAGATGAAATCATTCTGGATTTAGGGTGGGTCTTCAGTCCAATGACTGTCCTCCCTACCAGAGAACAGAGAGGGAGAGAAGACACAGAGACATTGTAAAGCCATGTAAAGATGGAGGTAGAAATTGTAGGGACACTGAATATTCTGCCTGTATCCTCCACTTCCAGCCTCCTCTTTCCCATCCCCCCAACCTCCAAGACTCTCCTCGATCACCCTAAACCATCCCACACTGGCTCCCAGGCACAGCTTCCGGACGTTAGCCTAGAGAAATGTGAAGTCCGTGAAGGTTTGAAGTTCAGGGAAAGGAATTGATTGGATTCATGCAAACTAATACGTAATACAATGGCATAAAGGGCCCCTGATGATCTGCTTCACCTCTGACCTCTACACTCAGCCTGCCTCCCTGATCCTACTCTTTAAGCCACTGGGCAGTTTCCTCTACTCAGGAATGAGCAATATACCTTTCCACCACAGGACTTTTGCATAGATAGCTCCTTCCCATAATCCCCATCCAAACCACCTTTCCCTTGCCTTTTTTCCTAATACACGGGACAAAACTGATATCCAAAAACCTGATTATTATGCTATTAGAGACACAACCTAATATTTGGAATATTTAACTTAGACTTTACCAATAAACACTGCCTACATAGTTCTGTACTGAGTTTAAATTTTACCAAATCCCTCACAGTTTGGGAAAAGGATGCAGTGTTTTAGAATAGGATCTGGCAAACTTTTACCGTAAAATATAAAAGGGAAGCCAAATAATACACTCTTACAACTTCATAGGTCACACAGTGTCTATGGTAACCATTCAATTCCCCCTTGCAGTGTGGTATCATGACGCAGAAACAAAGGGGCTCACCTGAGTTTCTATAAAGCTTTATTGACAATAGCAGCCAGTGGGCCAGAGATTACTCATACCCATTTCAAAAGAAAAATCTTAAAATATCTAATGGTAGTCAACCTTCGTTTCGCTTCCTCTCAAATGCAGTCTAGCTATCAAAGCCGGAAATTGGCAAACCGCTCTAGGATAAGAATATAAAAGTACCCTGGCCCCTGGGGTCTGAGTTGAGACCTCTAAGAAGAAAGTTTTACAAGCAAAAACTTGCAGGAAGGCTTTTTCTCCCATTAAAAGTTAATATTTTAATGACTTTCTCTTAAATAAATGGATCATCTTTTGAACAAACTAATCCCTAATAAATGAGAATCTTTACACCAAACCGAACTGAGCAACTGTATTCCCACAGCTATGTCCCCACACCCTGGACTGCTTTAAAGATCCATTGATTACTGCCAAGCCTCCATTGGTGGGATTAATTAATTTATGAACTTGTCATTACAATTCATTGATTAAAATGTCCCTTCTTAAAGATTTAATTATATCCAAAGATAAAAGATCTGCTAATTATTGTCCTTTATCTAATTGAAGCTTTGTATTACAAATAAAGTTCAAAGGTTTAAGACAGTTGCCCTTTCAAACAGTTGGGCAAAGATGAGAATTTAATTAGAAGCAAGACACCATTCTCTCTGATCTATTCTAATGAGAAAAAAGACATCAGTCTGGACTAGATTGCTGGTCAGAGTAGGGGGACCTGAGAAATCTGTTAACCTTCTCTTTCACTTACTGGTTCTTAGCAAACAGCGCCGGTCCTGTGTGCTGTCAAAATGGCTTGGTTTGCTGGCACAAGAAGAATCACCCATGGTGTCAAGAGCAGGAATTCTGCCAAGCAAAATACACTGTGTTTTTAAGTATCCTAAAAATGCTGATACATTTAAAAGACTTAGGATTACTTTTTCTTTTCCTAAAATCATTCCTATGCTATTCTGAATGGTAAGTCAAAGTTCTTTGGTACATGAACCACTGAGATGCGGGAATGCCAGTTGAAAGACACAATTGCCCTAAAGTCAGGACAGCCTGGATTGAAGTGTGAATGGAGGACTGAAAGAGGAACCTCCTGGGCCTGGAACTATGTCTCGTGGTGAGGGTCCTGCAGTTCAAGAGGGCCCAGCATTTTCCCTTGCCCACACAGGAGTGAGGTTGGGTTATGGGAATCACTGATCTATGCTTGGTGATTGAGTGAAGCTAACCTATCTATGGGAAGCAAGCTCTGAGGATCCTTTCCTCCTCTACTGAGCTCTGAGGATCCTCCCTTTTTCCCCCAGACAAATAAGGGGCAGCAAACTGCTCTTCAATCCTTCTTTTCCCTCAGTTGCCTTCTCCCAGAATCTTAACTCATGAGAGGGAAGGATAGGAGAAGACACCAATAGTCCCATTGTCTATAAATCTATAACCACATTTGCCCATCCACTTGACCATACTAAACACAATATTTTAATCGTTGTTTGGCTCCTACATCTATCAATTAGCTTTGAATTGATATGACTGGACATTTTGATAATCTCTGAATTTCAGGCCTCCCAGTTGTTAGAGGAGAGCAGTAGAATACCTGTCCTCATGGTGCTGCTGCAACAGTCCCAGTGGAATGAAGAGACTTAGCAGGGTAGCTGCACGTGCTGAGAGCTGGGTGCACAATGGCTGTTAATAACGCGGTCTTTGAACAAGGAAGACAAGGAAGAACAAGCTCTCTGCCTTAAGGCAGCTCACACTGTGTCCTTTCCACGTTCAGAATGTTTTTATTCAGATGAAAGCAGGAAGCAAGTGATACCAAACATTGGAAGAGCTCTAGTTTCACATCTGTTCCTTTGAAACAGAAGTCATCTGCACAAAGATGTCCCTCACCCGTGTCCCCTGAGGCTGGAATGGGATGGGCACTCTAGGGCAGGGAAGAATATTATGTACTTGGTGGGGATTCTTTGAATATCTAATCACAAAAGCTGGGTTTGTCTGGGGAAATGCAGAGAGCTGGAGAGTTTGAAGAGATGAGCTAAACCACTCAAGATGTCAGAAGGAAGTATGTCTGGGGTACAGAGCTGAGTATAATGTGTGGGAATGTGAACTGCTGTCCTACAAGGACCAAGGTAATAAGGGTCAACAAGTGCAGACTGACCTGAGGATATGAGACAGGCAGCTCTTTAAAGTGCCACAGGACTGCTGGGTGCAGGTACCTAACACATCCTGTGCTATGGTACCGTCTAGGTGTCCTGGTCACAGCAGACAATGAGCTCTTTTTATGCACTTCACATGCTTTATCTCCTTAATATTCCTAGCACATCATAAGCATATTCTTCTACGGTACCTGTTTTACAGATGAGAAAACTGAGAGCTGTCAAGGTTAAGCCTCATAACTGCTAATCTTGACTGTCAATTTGATTGACGTGAGAGGTGCCTAGGAAGCTGACAAAGCACACTTCTGGGCAGGCCATGGGGTGTGACCTTGAGGATTATATCTGGTCCCTGGCCCCATCCTCTTGGGCTTTTCCCAGATCTCTGTTTCTTAAATGCCATGAGTTGAGAAGATTCCTCCACAATGCCTTTCTGCCACGTTTCTGCCTCAGGGCCAACTGCCCATGGACTGAAGCCTCTGAAGCTGTGAGCCAAAATAAAATCTCCCCTCCTTTAAATTGCAAGTGTCAGATATTTGGGCCCATCATTTAAAATCTGACTAAGACGAACCTTCTGGCCTATGTCACCCGGTCTGTGGTCATAGAGTGAGGGCAGTGGGTTCATATCTTAAAGCTGATTTTGGGTCACTGCATGGAAAAATATCCTGCCATAGTAATGAATAACATCACTGGTTACTTTCTGACATAGTAAATTCTCAGGTATTGTCAACTACAGACTATAATACTCAAGGTGTCAGATGGTTATAAATGATGCCTAAGCAAACTAGGTCAAATTTTTCCAAAACCACAACCAAGTTTTGTTTCTACTCCAAGAATCTATGATGCAGTATTTCTCATTTCTTCATCAGCAGACCTGAAGAGCTCACAAGTGAAGGTGCAGCTTAGGGAGCATAATCTCCCAATTCCCTGCTGTGCTGGACAAAAGAAAATGATATAAAGAGTCCCATGTCAATGGTTAGGCAATGAGGTTTAGTAATTCTTACAGGGTACTCAGCCATCAAAAATAACATCACAGATACACAAAAGGGGATCTTCAGTACTAAGGAGGAAAAAGGATACAAAATGGAATGGAATGTGCAGTGGCTACATATATACATATATATATATATATATATATATATATATTATATATATATTTTCACACACATATCAGAGGAGATGAAAGAGAGAAGGAAGGGAGGAAAAAGAAGAAGAATTTCTATCAAGTTGTTATCTCTATATAATTGTTATCTCTATATAATTGAATATTTGGGGAGTTTTGTTTAAATTTTATTTTTATTATCTAAAGTATACAGTCTTCTATAATTACCATGTATTTATTTACTAAGAAGAAAAAAGTACAGATTTCAAACCAGGTAATTTATTATCCTAGAACACAAAACAAGCTACATTTGAAACCCATTTTTCCATAGTTTGATTGCCCAGCCACCACACCTTGTGGGACTTCCAGAATAACTCACTCTTCACACCTTACCAGCCAGGTTGGACATGTTTACTCCCTTGGTGCCCAGGGAATGGTGCCCAGAAGCTCCTCAGGCTGCTGGCCTAAGACTCACTCTTGCCTCTGTCCCTTGCTGTCAGATAAAATCATGCCCACACTGGCCCATGGAATGGTTTACCTGTTGTCTCCTTGAGGTTATTACCAGATGCACATACATTCCTGAGACTTTGTCTCCAGAGCCCCCACTGAGAGCCCCCATCCACCTGGGTGCTCCAGTTTTTGGGTGGGTGCTCCAGTCTTCATTCTACAGAGACAAAACTGAAAATTCAGACCCTGCTCCCCAAGCCTTATCTTCACCATTTCTGATCATTTTTGTCATGTCTTAAAAACTCTACAGTTGCCAAGACTGAATCCCCAAAGAACTATAGTCTTTCTCTTCCATCCAACCCAAACCTTTTGCAGCTGTGATCCTTGCTAGTAGCTGAAAGCATATGCCTTTTGCTTTTGCTGTTGATCATTTTTATTTGTTGGTTGGCTTTGGTTGTGTTTTAACTGTAAGCACAGTGCCACTCTACCTGAAGGAGGTAGAAAGGCTTCTCTCATTTAACTCCAGTGGGACGTTTGGAAGGAAAAATAAAACTAGTCATGGAAGAGGAGAGGCCAATACCTCCCAGCAACACTGAGGAGTAGGACAAGGTAGTGGGGGCAAGCAGGAAGGAAAGATCCTCACCAAGCAGCAGGACATGTGTGACATGCAGGCTGACTCTGCCAGAGCCACACCAGGTGCCTGGGGTCATGATCACAGTGGAGTTCATGCTGTCCCAGCATTGTATGGTTGCTCTCTCCACTACTGAGGAGGGGGACACTGGACCCAAGAATCTCTCAGAATGTTCCGACCAGAAAGGATTGCAGGACACAATCATGAAAGCCTGTGGAAGCCCAAGAGGAGGCTCATCTGCCAGTTTCTGTTCTCACCCCTGCCTTCCCTCATTCTAGCATGGTAAATCTATCTATGCACACTTCCCAGGCTAACTGCCCTTGAGAGCAACACACCCTCTACCTCCTCCCTTGTCAACAGTTGAAGACAACCTGAAGAGCAGTGACCATAAAGTCCTTCAACCTACCTACAGGATGTCCTTCTAGAACCTTCTTGACCTGTGATAGAGATCCATGCCCATATGACCTTCTCACCAGCAGTCCACAACTTCTGAAAGGAGGTCGGATGTGCCCAAGGTGTTCTGCATCTCCAAACTATCACATGTATTGAGTCTATTTTCTTAGCCTACTGAGAAAATTACTTGATACTTGTTATGAATTTAAGAAACAACCTTACTAATGACATCACACTATTGAGCAGTATTCACTGTCAATTTACATTATGTAACAGAATGTGAAGCTCGATTTCCTTGTGTCACATTTATAATGATTAAATTATCAGCAGATGTAGTCATTCAGAGCTGTAACAAGGTCCTATAGGGTGTTAATTAACTTGGCACTTTTCTAAAAAGAGACATTCTAGCACACTTCAATAGGAATTGCTGCCACTTGGGAATACTTATTGGTCCTCCAGTAGCATACTTAGGACATAGTTCGAAGATTTTTCTTCTGTCCTTGTTGCTACTGCCTGGGAGGAATAATACTATCATAAACATACTGATCTTCCCATTTGGGTCCAAAACCCATACTGCAGCAAACTCTATTGATTCCAAAAGAAATCATCTTCTATCAATGATATAGTTATTTCTAACATTGGTGAAACAGTCAACAACTGCAGCTCACAGAAGCCCAGCAATTATGTCTATGAGACTTTAGCAATGTTCAGATTCCAGTGATCTTTGCTGGTTGGGGAGAATCATGATCCCAACAAAGGCTCAGAAACACTAACTAAATGGTCATCCCATAGATTTCACTTCTGTGATCTTAGAATTTTTACAGATTCTTCTAATAGGGTGAAGGTCAAGACCACAAATTGCTCAGGTTTATTTGTCACTATTTTGTTAATCCTTGAGGGCTTTATAATGAACAGCAAGTACTATACATTTTTATCTTTCTTTCTCCATTCAAAATGACTGACATAATATTTTAACATTTTTTCTTAGTGGCTTAGGAATGATCATAGCATTACAGTTATATGTTTACAAGATGTTTTATCATTTAAAAATATACATTTATAGTCATAGGTGAAATGACAAAATGTCTTGGATTTGTTCTAAAATGATCCAGTGGTAAAGAGGAAGAGAAACATATAAATGAAACAATATTGCCCATAAACTGTTAATTGTGGAAGCTGGCTCCTGGGTATATGAGATTTTCCTACATTATCTCTATGTTGTATATTTTAATTTTTCCATAATGGAAATTTAAATTACTTAACATTTTTAAAAGAGGATCAGTTTGTAAAAAAAAGTTTGTGATCCTTTGGATATAAACTAAGGGAATGATAGATTTAGGATGATCACTTTTGCAGTTAAGGCTGTTCCAAAGTGTCTCTTAGAAAATAGAATTAGGTGTGCATGACCGACACTTGGGAAATGTTAACTTATTTGAAAAAAAATAACCCAAGATTTTATTTCAGTTCCTGATTGAACTGAGAGAGTCTAAAATAATCACAACGTTTCTATTTTTTGGATATCATAGGTGCAGAAAAACTAGCAGTGAGACAGCCATGAAAGGTCTGTGTGCCAAAATGCACGGAGAAGGCAAGGAGGCATGGGAAAAGAAGTCTCACCTACAGGAAGAGCAGTTTGAAAACACATGAGCAATAGACGGACTTAAGGTAGTAACTTGGCATTGGATCCCCGCTTGGGTTTCAGTTTGCAAAGAAAGGAGAGGGTCACAGCCTTCCAACGAAGGGCAGGTGCACTAACACTCTAATTTTGTAGATAAGAAACAGTTCCTTCTCCAAACCCATGAAGGTGATAAGAAATAGAGCAGATATTCAAAGTCAAGTTGGGTTTGCTCCAAAGCTCATACTCCTCTTACATCATGACTCTCAGCTGATTCTAAGGATGAAAGTAGGAAATAGACAGGCTTCCTGAGCATTTCCAAATACAGGGACTGAAATCACACAACTCTTGCCCCATCACGAGCAGTAAGTTGTGGTAGAACTACTCATCTTTAAATCTGTGAGTGTTCAGCAAGAGAAATAGCAGTCTTCCTTTTGGACTGAGATGTGAGGAGGAAAAGGTTTTTCTGGTAGATGACAAAAGTTATAATGCATAGTATTCAGTAAAATAAATTTCATCATGGTTCATGATTAACTCCTCCCAAAGGAAGGACAAGAACTGGAAGACCACCTTGTATAGTCTCTTGGGTCAGGACCACTCCTTTCTGCAGAATGAGAAGCCTTAGATATTCTACCCTCAGGTAAAACAAGACCTGAGAATGGAAGATGTTTCTAGAAGTCACTTGAGTGTCCACAAAAGGGTAACACACGCATTTCTAGAAAACCAAGGAGACCATCACAACTAAATAAATCTATGGAAATTAAGTCTCAAGTATACATGGTGTTTTTTACTCTTGCCTCCTTTTGGAAAGTAAGAGAAATCTATTGAACACTCTGATACACCCTTACTATAAAGACCTGTTGAATTTTGAATTTCCCCCACACATATTTGTCTTTCACCACGGGGCCACTTTTGCACTTCAGATTTTAGCACTGCATGAGAATGCAGTGCATGGAGATACCTTTTAAAGAGGCATAGATGTACTGGCGGGATCCTAGGGAGTTTTATACAGACTCCACTTTGTAATCAAAAGAATAGGAATAGAGATTAATACCCCTAGCCACAGACTGTACATCCAAATTGGCCTCTAACCCAAGGTTAACCTAAAATTCAAGTTAACTTCATAAAGAGATGATAGAATCTAGGCCATGTGGTAAACTTAGGATTCAAAAGAGAACACATTGTGGATCTCAGGTCCATTGTGATCCACAGAAGCAGCTATTTGCAAGGAGTAGAATTTGAAATGAGTAATAAGAGAAGGGTAAATAGAGATAGGAGGGAAAGGGAGGACAACAGAATTATTTCAAGCAAGGAGAATGATGTACTCAGGTTGCTTGTTGCTTGGTCATCACTGATCAAGCCATATTGAGAATCATTTTCTCTATCATGTGCATTATGTTTGATATATTTTTAAATGGCAGAAGCTCAATTGAAAACAATTCCATACTCATATGGGATTAGATAGAAGTACTTTATTTTTCGGCCATTCTAAATAAGTCAAAGGATATAATAGTTGTGGCTGATTTTTCCCAGCTTCTGTGAATGTGTCTGTTATGGTTAGAACCAGAATGTCCCCCAAAATGCTCATGTACTCATAGGACGGTAATTAGATAATTAGATCATTGATTCAGAGCCCAGTGTGCTGTTATGAGGTGTGGTTTGATTGGAAGAGGCAGGTCATGGGGCCATAACCTGAAGGGTGTATCTGCCTTCTAAGGTCCTAGCTTCTCTCTCTGCTTCTTGGCCGCCATGATGTGAGCAGCTTTTCTCCACAGCAGACCGCCCACCATGCTGTTTCTCCCTTGGAACCTGCCAGCCATGGACTGAAACTTCTGAAACTATGATCCCAAATAAACCTCTCCTCCTTTAAGTTGTGAATGTCACGTATCTTGTCCCAGTGACAAGGAAAGTGACTAAGACAGTGTCCTAATAGATTAAATCTAAATTCTTATTAAGGCTATTATCTCTGTGGCTTCTCCTGTCTACTAGAGTTACTTCGTCCCAGAAGGCTACTAAGTGATCCTATGAACCAGTGTTTTCCCAATTCATTAGTGCTCATGGAATTTAGTTAGAAGGCCACAGTCTTGTGGGAATTATTTACAAATTAATTTGGGCCACTCTGCAAGAGTATTTTTCTAAGTAAGAAGTCTGCCTGCCAAAGACAATGGTGCAATTACCCTGCTATAAAAGGAATGTGAGTTTGACAAACAGGGAAAGAGGATGGTGCTTGTTGAATGTGTGGATGTGAGAACGTAGGTGGAACCTCCCACTAGTGGGAACCTTCTCTTCAGGAAACCTCCCCACCATAATGCAGTAACATGGCGGCCATGTAGCTTACCATTTCCAGTCACATGTGAGACATGCTTTCTTTTTGTCCCTGACACTGCACGTATACATAATTGACCATGAATATGAATTTGAGGTTTAAAGACAATATCATCCCTATGGGCCTAACCCCCTCACCTTCATGAGCAGAAAATATGCTTCTACCTCACTGTCCACACAGCCTTCTTGGTGACCTCTTGTCCCTTCCTTTGATGGACATACATGTTATCAGGGGTGGGTCAAACTTCAGATTTTCTTCACTGTGATCAGTCCATCTTACAAGTAAGGACACTGACTCAGACAGTTTAAACTGACCACAGATGTACAGGTATTTTCCTTTCTAAGGGTGTTGTGGTTGCCTCCATAAATCAGTAGAGTCTGTAATCAAAGATTATGCATGTAGGGGCTGGGGATTTAGCTCAGCGGCAAAAGCGCCTGCCTGGCAAGCGCAAGGTCGTGAGTTCGGTTCCCGGTACCGGAGAAAAAACAAAAAAAAAAACAAAAAAAAAAAGATTATGCATGTAAAACAGGGGGGCTGTGCTGAAATGTGACTAGGGAACACCCTAACTGGTGTATATTGAGTCTTATAGATTGAGGGTCTCTATCTCTAAAAGACTCTTGATTCCATGAGTGCTGGGTTTTGCTTGTCCATTCTTTTTAAATATATATATAAGGAGGGGAGGGAGGAACTAGTAATATTTGTCTGGAAGGTAAATGGCATGAGTAGAAGATCGTTTGCCAATATTTTCAGAAATGTCCCTAGAGTCCAAAATAGTAGTTGGCACAGAGTAGGCCTTCAAAATGAAACTTGAATAGTTGAGTACTGCGTTAGAGACTTACAGAAATAATGAATTTAGTCCCTATGAGGTAAGTCCAGCACCCTGATTTTATAGATGAAGACACTGAGGGAGAGGGGTATTTCTGTAATTTGCCTGAGGTCGCATGGCTTCTAAGGCACAGAGGGAGGACTCAGACCCAAGTGGTCTGGTTTTAGAGCTGACACTTGTACCCAGAAAGGAGCCATGGGCGATAGACATACCAGTTATCAACTGCTGTGTAATGAGCGTCCAACAGTTCATACCTTAAAACAAACCTTTTGTTTTTGCTCACAGTTTTGCTTGACTAGGAATTAGAAAAGGCTCAGCCAACCAGTTTGTCTCTGATGCATGTGGTCTGAGGTGAAGTGTTTGGGCTGAGAGACTCACTGCCAGGATGACACCTCCATTCCCAC